ACTGAAATTTATGACTAATTTCTTCTTTGTCGTATTTCACAGCGTTTTATTTCTTAATGGACTTTTTTAGAAATAATGTTACCTATGCTCGTATTTCCTTCAAAGCTCGTTGAATATTTTGAATGTATCCAACATTTACTGTCGAAGCAGAATCCAACACGCAGTCATCAATAAAAGCAGCATCTTCACTTTCCTCGTCAGAACTAATTTGATTTTGATCTAAATCTTGATCCCTCGACACATTAATGATATAATAACACAATAATGATTCCGTTGGTTCCTCTTTTACCAAAAGGGGCTATAATACATAAATTAATCGTGGGATTGAAACGGAGAACCACTTCGCGTCTAAATTTGACCATCACGCTAGCACGGCATTGATTTTTAAGTTCTCGAAGCATTAAGTTTTTTTGCCCGTCTCAACTAAAGACAAATTTCTCGATAATTCTCGCCTCGACAATTTTCGAGCAGAATCTTTATTATCATATCATATCAATAACAATAAGAAATAAATTTTTGATAACAAACAATATAATTTTTTAAAATGTCATCTAGAGGATATTATTACAACTAAAACGACCGAATCTCTTCGAAATAAATGATTGACGAAAAGATTAACGAAAAGGTAAATTTATTTAGTCGCCACTAAAACTTCATTACTTCATTTGTAGGACGGAACTTCAAAAAACAGGCTATATTAATAGATTTTTCACAAGTGATCGTGTTTTTAAGTTGGTTCACAGTTTATTGACGGTAAAGTAAACTATTTTGGTGTTTTTTCTCCTTTCTATTATATTTAATAATTTTTTGAAGATGATAAAATTAATCTTCATTAACTTATCTCTCTAATGGTACGTAAATTTTTCTATTTTCGTGTACTAACGAGAGCATAGCGTTAGAAATATTGGCTGACAAGAAACGAAAAAATTTTTCAATCCTAAAGCTCTCTTAAATGCTTCACACTTCGTGCAATCATGGATATTTAAGAACCTTTTTTTACAGATTCTGTTTAATTTTTTTTTAATCTATATATACAAAACCTCTGTTTGTTAATCTCGTTAAAGCGGCTTCACCGAATTGGCTGATTCTTTTTTGTTGAGATCGTTATTGTCAGGGTAAATGTTTGTATGACAGAAAACAAACCTTGTTTATCTGTCTGTCTCTTTGTACGGGCTATCTTAAAATGATGAACCGATCACTACATGGCTTTCACTGGAAAGTAGAAAAGCTTTCAGAACTATATTTAGGGCATTTTTATCCGGGAAACATTTAGGGTTCCTACATGAAAAATTAAGAACACTTAGAAATAGAATAATTTGCCGAAATCATCGGAATTGAATAAAAGATGGACCGGAATCGTTATCGTAAGCAGAACCGACATCAAGACAAAGACTGAGATGAAATCGAGCACGTGGAGCGGGATTAGGACCATGATGGGCATAATGTCATCAGTCAATATAAAAGATGTAATAATTCATTCTATTTTCATACGTTCGAAGCCGTAAACGAAAATTATCTGCAATAAAAACTGTCAGAGGTTTGCTTCTTTTTTACCGTTCCTAAAAATTACTGAGGACCCTTAATGTTTAACAAAATTCAATAAAACTTATCATGAAGGTAATCGAAAGCCAATCAAGGGATGTACTATATATTTATTAGTGCCGTGAATATCACTAAGAAGAAAAAAATTTAACCGATTTCAATAAAATTTAGTATTAGATAAATGGAAGCCAATATAAATACATACAATACATTTTTCTTTGGGTGCAGTGAGAATCCCTAGGAACTCTCGTAGTTTAACCGCTTTTAACAAAATATAATATGCAAATAGCTGGAAGCCAGTGAAATATACAGCATATATATATTTTTAAAATCCGTCATAATAATTGAGAACCCTTTTAATTTGAATAATTTATTTAAAATTTACACAAGTTTTTCTGATCAAGACAGAGTGAGTGTTTCGAGTAGCTTATGGTTGTATGTTTACATTCTTTGAGATTAATAAGCACCCTTACAATATGATCGATTTCAATGAAATTTTGCAAGAAGATAGTTTAACCTACGGGAAAGGGTGTAGCCTGTAATATTTTTATGCTTCCATTAGTAAGAGTTCATCGAAAAATATTAAAAAGACATTAGGATCCGACTTATTTCGCCAATCCTTTTAGATTTCTTTTATTAATTTACATAATCGTTCGGGGTTCTGAAAGAATTATTAAGACCCGGTATTATTCACTTTATTTAAGAACGAAATGAGACGGGAACAAATCAAGAGCGAGGGTGTGATTGGAGGCGCACTACAGGCGGTGCAGAAGCGCTCGAGAGAGCCGCGACGCGATAGCCACTACTAATATATACCTGTTTAAGAGAGAGAGAAGCTTCTGCCAGACGTTCAAAAGAATAGTAAGTGTATCTGGTATCTGTACGTTTGTTATATTTTCATGATTAAATCGCTGATCAATTTGATGAAATTTGGAATAAATACAAGAAGCTTAGTCATGTAGGCGAAATCGCGTTTTTGTATTATAGTCAGTACAAATATTAGAAAATTGGTTCAGTTAAGCGGATTTTAAACATATTTTTATATATAGAAAGATAACATCTTTACGTAGTAACATAGTTGAGGTACAGTTTATTTTCATACAAAGATTCACCCAAATCGAAACTGTGCCCTATAAATCGAAATGAAACACTGGATTAGTATAGGAATGGAAAATGGGAACAGGGTCAGAATCGAAATCAAATCTGAGGCCAAGATCGAGATTAATAACAAAACGATCGACGTAAAAGATGAAGGAATTCATTCTATTTGTGTATAAGTAAAAATGCAGACGAACACGATACTTAACGGAAATGGTACAAAAAGGTTTAGCGGACCAACTAGTTTACTTATAAATCTCTATTTTTGTGATTTTGTCAATTCTTACATAGTCGAAAAATTAACGACTTCGGAAGTCAATAAGCCGCAAAATATATGCCTTAGATAAAAAGTCTATTAGGAACTTTTAATGAAATTTCGAAGACCTTTTCAATGATGTTGCGTGAAAAAAGGACATGCCCTAATTTTAGGTACGAAAACTACCTCAATTTTTTAACTTTCCGCTATGAACATCGAAAAATTTTCATAAAATTGGGAAATTACTGTTTTCACCCCGACTTTCAAAAATCAAGTTTTCACCAAATCTTAACGTTTTAGGATTCTATGAATCTATTTCGACTATTTTCCGAGTGATATCTGTATGTGTGTGTGTGTGTGTGTCTGTCTGTATGTATGGAGATATGGAATAACCGATCAAAACGCATTTTGCGACATTCAAAAGGAGTCCACTCAACTTAGATTACCTGAAAATTCAAAGTAATTTTAACACGTGGATTTTGAAGAATCTCAAAAATAAACTTTTTAGAGAATGTTTTTTATGAAATAACTTTTAGATTAATCTACCGATTGACACCAAAATCAAATCAGCTCTTTTCCCCAAATTGCATCGAATGCCACATGTTGCATAAAAATAGGTTGATTTGTTTAGAGATATGATTGGAGAAGAATTAAAAAAAAAAAAGTGTTTTTATGCAATATTTTGGTAAATTACTCTAGCGATGAATTACAAAATGAATTCAGTTGTTCTCCTTTAAAAATAACGTTGATCGTTGCTAAATGCATCAAAATTAATTGATTTGGTTCAGAGATATAGTCGGAGAATAATTAAAAAAAAATGTATTTTTAGAATATTTTTTAAAGTGCACTATCGATAAATTGAAAATACTATTCAATTGTATTCCTTAAAATATATCGTGGATCGTTGTGAATTATATCAAAATCAGTTGGTTAGTTCGAAAGATATAGTTAACGAAAGATTTTTGTCCAAATCCATGGGAAATACTTGATAGATTAATGTTTGCTACTTCATCATCCTTTTCTATTTATAAAACTACGTTGGAGGTCATAAAGCAGATCCAAGTGGAACGACTCATTCGAAAAATATAGTAGTTGAAATATTATACGATAAGAAAAGCGTTTTGCACATAAACTCGAAGAGCTCAAAACCTGTTACAATTATATTTTTGAGATCGAGGAATTTGAAAAAGCACTAAAATTGATCTCTTGGGCGTAATGAAGTCAATAATTTATTAATACTTTATTTTTGAACGCTTAGAGCTCAGATATATTAAGAACATGTGATGTTGTGAAAGCTAAAAAACTCATAGATAATATTTATTAGACAAGCAGCTGAAAGACAAATCGATAAATATCATAGTGGAAAGTTGTAGGGATGACCTGCAGGATTGACCGTGTTACAGATTTATTTTTTAACTTCGTATGCAAAACTGCATGGCAATTCACAAAGATACCTGCCTGAACAATTTTATCAAAAAAGATGAAAGAAATGGAAAAATTATAAAATAGTGGGGACGTGTGCTTATGTACGCGCGTGAGAAGTTATACTTTTCGCATCATTAAAAAATAGTTTTTAATTGTATGCAAATAATTAATTATTGATTAATAAATAATTAATTATTGATTAATAAACAATTAATAACATTAATTAATTTATTAATAAATTTAAAAATTAAATTTAAGTTTATTCATTTTTAAAATATTTATTATTTTCTTAATTTAATATTCACTTTTCATTTTTATCAATAGATAAGAATATAGACATTTATTATTTATTCAATTTAATAATAAATATTAAAAAATAATATTTAAATTTGATGTTCAATTTTAATTTTTACCACAATTTTTTTATTGAATGTTTTATTAAATTTATTTCTTTATTTTGTAAATATTAAATAACCAATAATAAATATTTAATATTAATAATTTAATAATATTTACATTTAATTATATTAAATAATAATTATATTATATTAAATAATTATTAATAGTAATTTATATCAATAAATAATAAATGCGGATAGTTAACCTCAATTACATTGGAGCTCTTAAAAAAGTATAGAAGCACATTTTTTTTCACTAATATTTGCGAGTAGCAAAAACTTAACCCATGAGGGGATCGAACCCGCGACCTTCGCGTTATTAGCGCGACACTCTAACCAACTGAGCTTATGGGCCATTGAGCTGTCGTACGAAAAACCTATATGTATCAAAAAACCTGTTAATTTTGTGTTACACTGATGCGCGCGCATCTTAAAATTTCACTCTCATCATTTTTCATAACGCGCCTAAAGAATTATAACTTCAATAAATAGATAGACAGACGTGCATACCGATGTGGCTCCAAAGTATCTTAGCTTTTTTCTGCTCTGCCTGCGAAACCATAAAAAGCCAAAGAATGAGAGATTCAAAAGAGCCCCCTTGCGTATCAGAGAAAAATATACGTTCAGCATATTTTTCTCATTCATAGGCCCGGGTGGGCCTCCCTTTTCAGCGTGATTGCTAAAATTTTAATATTGCAGAAAACCTAAATACATTTCGCACTCGCGTTACACGAAACCCTGCTTTCGGGAAACAGATGCGGAAAATAGAAATAAAAAGTAATGGAGGGAACTTGTGAAAAACGCGAAGTCACTCCTGAAAAGAGGGCTTTAATGGACGGAATGACTCGCCGCTCCGCCGTGAATGCAGCCGTAGAAACAAGTGTATCGACCGACGGCCCGCCGGCTACGTGCAGCCCGCGCACGCACGCGTGTGTCTGAAAACAAGATACGTATAGGCGGGAAATGGAACCCTCTCTTTTTGTAGTGGGTTAAAAACTGAAATAGTGGAAATAGGGCTCGCACTTAAAGGTCCTGTCCAAATTTTAAAAAATTGTTTTCTCATACATCGATCTCCATCACAATCCGTACTTCAACTGCAAATGTAAAAATAATATAAGAATTGTGTGAATATTATCCCAAAAAAAAATGTTATCGTACATCACAACAACTGCAGATAGTTAGAGAGATAGTGAGAGAGACGCATACACAAATCAGATTTATATTCTTTTTATAATATTTTCGATTGGCAAATAAGCATGCGAACGCGAGAGAGGAGGTGGTCACCTCGCTCATGAACACTCAGAACCCTAGAAAAATCACATTAGTGACTATTGCTACCTAAGAGGCCGAAGCTCTCGAGTACGACTAGAATATGTAATTAACAAGAGTTAGTGGCGATGTAGGGGGATGGGTATAATAAAGGAGACTTTGAAGTAATACAAAGAAGAGTGGGCCACCGGAAATCACATTTACTGAATAAAACGCAAAAAGAACAACGAAAGCTGTTAATTCACGTACTGACGTGAATATAGGATACATACAGAATACCGAATTAGGATTCTGTAAAACCGATTAGTTAACAAGCTGAAGCTGAATCTGTGTCTGAATCACAGCATGACTCTGCCACTATGAATATAATTTTGTCTGTCTGTTCGCTTCCTTTTCGATAGGGGAGAAATTCTAATGAATGCTTTACACTTGAGAACAGTCGTCCGAATTATGTTGCATTCCTACAGGCGAAAACCAATGAGTCCTTTTCGTTTCCTTAATTGCGAAACCTTGGTTACACAAATGCAATTATATCTAAACTGAATGGCAATGACTACTAACTCTGGGTCTTTCCCTTTGTGCTCGTGTAGCACCTTGACAGTTAAAAGGTCAACATATAGAAAAACACTCCACATAACCTCAAATCCAGGAAGACAAACTTTCCAAATTTATTTAAAGAACATGGAGGATCGCAACGTGGTTTTTCTACGCCACTGCGACGCCAGCGGATGTCCATCAACTGTTTGTTCTCACGCTGCCCTTCTGTCACCACTTTTGACGAGATGACAACCAGGCAGAAGGATCGCACCATTTTGCACAGCTCATCAGCGTCAAGAATCATTTACAATACTGTTTCTGTACTACCAAAAAAGATACTTCTCTTGTATGCGCCGAACGGGAACGAATCTAAACCCATCTATCATACTTCGTTCAGATGCGTTTCCATAAAAATATTCCAATATATTGTTCAAAACTCATTGCAGCCCAATATTTGTGATATATACAAATATTATTATTATCGCCGAACCGTAAGATTGAACTCTTAACACTTCGTAGCAAGTATTACACGAAAGTCTCACAAAATGCCTTCTTCTTCAAAACGATGCTTCTGACAGGATTACGCGAAACGCAATAAAATAGCTCTACCCTCTAATTTTCTCCGAATTTTTAAATAGTCCGCTCGGCAGCGCCTCCCGGAATTAAACCGGGACAGGTGTCGCGGGCGCAGCTTCTTTAGCTCGCCTGCTGCTCTCACGTTTAATTAGAAAGTTCTCCCTCGTTAAAACCGGCTATCGGACAGCTCGGGAATACAGATCAGCGGCCTTCGGCGAATAAAGAAGGGCCCGTTTTAGGGCGCTCTCCCGTTTTTTATGACTTCAACCTAGTTTTATACGCTCATGTTATTCGGCGATGAATAACGATCTATCTGTACGAACGAAAGTGGAGGATAAATTCAATTTTTTTTTTGTTGCGTCCCTAGTGCGAGCCGGAAACTAGATAACTAAACCCGAGTAACAAGCGTTGAAAATCAATTTGCAATGTTCCCTAACGATGAATCGAAATCCAGAGACTCTCGCATTCAAAGCGAACGTTGTATACAGGCTACGGAGTCCCGTTTGTCGAAAATTCACACGTTTGACTATCATTGTTCAAGGCAATTGATTTATATGAGGTGGGTCCACCGTAATTATGGTTATACAGATAAAACTAAAATTACCTGGATAAAACAAATAATATACAATTTTAAGTATTATCCAAGCATAATTAATTTTAGATGAAAGTGTAGGATAATGATGAGAAAAATGTGTGATATATGTAGTACTCTTAAGAGATTGAACACAGGTTATAATTATATAAAAAGTTTGATGATCTAAAGTGAAATGATATTAACAGGGAAGGTAATAAGTTTGATAGTAAGCAAGTTTAATAAACATTCGCAAAATCAATATCTCAATACTCATTAAAATTAAACTGAAACTAAAATTTTGAAATAAAAAACAGTTATTATGTGTTGTGCTATTTATTTAATAAATTTACACTGTAACGTTTGAACAAAACCGGGTTTGTATTCAGTCAAGAAACGTCCGTCCCCCCCAAAATAAGGGAGGAATATTAAAAATTACTCCATATCCGGTTGCAGCCATCGCACCCCATTTAAGCCGAGAACGGTCAAGCCGAAATGATATTAACGCTGGTACGTGCAGTACGATAAATTAGATTTTTCATAAGCCCTTTTAAAAAGGGCCCGCACAATAGGACCTTTCCAGGCTATATCGTGCTTTATAAACGAAATTTTATTGTCGAATACTGTCGAGTCATCTGACCCTTCTCAGTCCTCGTTTTATAGATGTTCATGTTTTTAAGGGTCCTCGTGGCCGTTGTATGAACCATCCAAATAAAAGCAGCATATGAATGTATCAGTATTGAGTAATAATACACTGTTTTGTGCTTTTTGACTGCTTTACTTTTAAGTGTTATTATACCAATAATTGTGATTTGATATTAACAATGAACTTTCGCCTGTTCTTAAACTTAAAATGGTTCTAGTCTCGCTGCCGATTCTAATATAGTCCAAATTTCAACTTGCTGTTCGTTACAATCTTTATTTTGAAATTATATTATTTGTCTATTTAATATAATACCAAACCCACTATTCATTTTAGTTCCAATTTCAATCCCTGTCCCGATTCCATTATTTCCTTAAATTGCTCATTGTCAATATTCTTCAAATCACAACTCCAAATTATTCCTTAAATGTCCCTTTTTCACGAACATACAGAAATTTCATAATTCCTGTATGTTTGTGAAAATGTCCTTCTTCGGACTTTAAGTTTTCCTTTACATTTTATGAAAATCGCTCCTGAATCTATACAATAACATTAAAAGCAGACAAAGTTAATTTAAAATAGAAATCGATGATGATGAATTTGTCAGGACAGTTTTTATTAATATTTCTAGTTATTTACTCCTTTCGGTATAAGATTTTTTGGACTATATATTCCATAATTTAATCTCAGGAACGATATGTATAATGCTATAACCCCATTAACTATACTTATATGACAGATAGGTAATATATTCATTCCGGCTTCAATTCAATTATTTTTTACCAGAATTCGAATAATGTTTACTATTTTAAAGAAGATTTTCATTTATGTAATGAAATCGAATCGAAAATCTATTCACTCAAAAAATATATCTTGAGCATTACTCTATCAAAGATCAATTTTGTAAAAACGGTAAATTGTTACTTAATTGAACATTAGAACACTTATTTTTATCTTTTCGAGTATTTTGGAAACTTCATATACAAAATACAGATTTCGAGAATTTGTTTTTCAAAAATATGGAAACAAGTCAATCTTAATACAAATATGACTACTCAAAAATCGCACTGGCAAAATTTTTTTTATAGATTTCGCCTCAATAATACAAATATTGTCAGCGAAGTGGAATAGATACGGACAGCTTTTAACTGCGATGTAAATTACTTTTTTAAACCAAAAACTGACTGTCCCTTCATTTTTTTTTTGAGAGAAAATAAATTTATGACGGAACCATTACATATTCGAGGTGTTCGTACTCGGCCGTTTCTTTATTGTAAGTATCCATGTCATGACTGGACGTTGTTGCGGTTTTCACAATCCCCTTCGTAATTTCAGTGTTATTCTTATGATAGGTAGCTATTACAACGATGACGGCTTAGCTTGAAGTGTACCTAAATAATAAGTTATAAATCAGCGGAAAAGGTAACATTTATAAAATGAATTTTGTAAATACTAAATGCATAATAAAATAAAAAGCTTGTAAAGAAAATTATTAAAAGTTTGATATTTACATGAATAATAAAAATGTTTCTTTTTTTTTCGATTAAATTTAGAACAAGCCTGCTAAAGTATTACCAAACAGGTAAATGTCAAAGTCCATGAGCATAAACCTTTAAAAGTAGAATGAAGAATACATCCAATATACTTTTACTTTTCTGACATTGTTTGGGGACACCGTGAAACTTGTCAAAACAGCTGGATCTGTAACCGTTAACTGCCCAAGGGTTATTGAGGCATGCGCCTCGTATATACAGGTCAT